ATCAAGGGATTCATAAGTTGCGCTTCAGCTAGCACTAATGAAATACCTGAACTAGCTAGGGGTTTGTCCAGTGTCCCATTTGACTGCATGTTAGAAATATGGCTAAGTCACAAGGATGGTCAAAAAAAAGCTAAGAGGAGAGATCAATGCCCCTCACAAACAAGAAACAGAATACATAAAGTTAGTGAAGGCACTGAATGTTCCTAGAGACAACGTTGGAAAAACATAGTTGGCAAATTAAACTGGAACAGTGGTTACACTATCTGGATGGGGCAGAAAAAGGAAGCTATCAACAGCTGCAACCAGATTTCAGAGTGACTACAAAAGACCTGCAGCAAGACTCGGTGGCAACGGGCACTCAGATTTCAGTTTGCACAGTAAGGCACATACTAAATGTAGGTTTCCATGCCAGAACTCCAAAACGTACACCACTATTGACCCAAACGCTCAAGAAAAGTTGACTCCAATATGTTCAAAATCATATTAATAAGCCACAGAAGTTTTTGGATTCTGTTCTGTGGAGTGATGAAACAAAACTGGAACTTCTCAGCCCCATGGATCAGCGCTTTGTCTGGAATAAAAAGAATGAAGCATACGCTGAAAAGATCACTCTGCCTAGTTATGCATGGTGGTGGCTAGGTGATGCTCTGTGGCTGCTTTGCATCCTCTGGCACTGGAAACCTGAAGTGTGTGGAAGGCGAGATGGATTCACAAAAGTATCAAGAAATCCTAGGAGAAAATGTCATGCCGCCTGTGAGGAAGCTAAAGCTTGTGCGTCAATGGACCTTCCAACATTACAATGATCCCAAACATACCTCAAATTCCACCAAGGCTTGGCTGCAGAAAATGAAGTCCTGGAAGATTCTACAGTGGCAATAACAGTCACTTGACTTGAACCCTATAGAAAATATCTGGTGGGATTTGAAGAAGGTGGTTGCAGCATGCATAACCAAGAATATTAGTGAATAGGAGGCCATTGCTCATGAGGAACGGGCGAAGATTCCTCAGGAACAGTGCCAAAAGCTGGTCTCTGGCTATGGATCTCGTTTTGCAGCAGGTCATAACAGCAAAAGTCTGCTCTACTAAGTACTAAAGATGCTTGCCATGAAGGGGTTGAATCATTTTGAGGCAGCAGAAGTCATTACAAGTTGCATTTTCAATTGAATTGGGGGAAACCACTTGAAACATTCGTTGTGTTGACCTATTTCAATTGCTTTTGTTTGATTTATTCATTACAAACAGCTAAACAGTGTTGCCAATAAATCTGATCTGCAGTGTGGAATTTGTTTTATTACAGCTGTATTTCCTGCAGGGATCTCATACATAACCTGAAGGTTGCAAGGTTTGAAAAACATGGAAGCTGACATTGCTTACTTCTCCTTTTGAAAATGCTAGTTATGCTGATCTACTGGCTGTAGCACTTTCTCAATTTACAAACAAAAATACAGATCAGGAATTTAAAAAGGGAACTCCAGGAATCTAAAACATTAACCCTTGCAGTGAGGATACCCCATGCACTGCAAGGGTTAACTGCTCCTTATGGTCCTCCCCCAGGCTCCAGCTGTCTAAGCCTGACAACATCACCTCAAATGTAGTCCATTCACCTGAATTAGACACGAGGACGCCAAGAGACATGCCACAGCGGAGGAGGGAGAGAGGTGAACACTTACCACCACAAGACCAAGGATCAGGTGAGTATATCTTCTGTATTCCAGCCCCTAGAGCAGGGGTCAGCAACCTTAAACACTCAAAGCCATTTGGACCCGTTTCCCACAGAAAAGAAAACACCGGGAGCCACAAAACCCTTTTGACATCTAAAATGAAGAAAACACGGCATTTATCGTTTTTTACCTTTATGCTATGTATAAAGTTATATGTGGGCTTAGCAACGCACTGGACTCTGGGCTTAGCAACGCACCGGACTCTCCTCAGACTCCACCTGAGTGTGACCCTGCAGAGCACACCATAGATCCTGCACAGCCCATCTGAGACTCTCGATGGTGGGCTCTGCAGGGCCTCCGTTGGGCTGGTCACCGGGGTCCCTTTCCCTGTACCTCCTCTTACCTGCTGCTGCTGGGGCCTCCTACCCTGTCACCTCTGCCATGCCGCCCCTGGTACAGCTGATACTCATGTAAGAGGCCCCCCAGACCCCTCACATGGGTACTGGCCGTACCCCCTTGATGGCGGTGTTCTATCAAAGTTTGTGACTACGTTACAATGTGTGACCGGTGACATGGTCACACATTTCAATGTAATCCCGCCCAGTTTTTGGCAGTGGAATGTGTGACCGCCAATAGGTCAAGCATTCCAACGCTCTCTCAGCTGTTCCAGGGCAGATCGGCATCGCAGATGGTATGTGCAGGAGAACTGATCTGCCCTGGAAACGCTGTTCGGTTCAGAAATTGCACTTCTATCCGACTCTGTGAGTGCATTTTCACACTCCACCCCACTCATAAAATTGGATAGAAGTGACATTTCCAGACTGAACAGCACCTGGGGGTGGGGAGTGCCTCGGTAGTTCCGCCCCTGGATAGGGAGCCGCAGCAGAGGGATGGAAGAGCCACATATGGCTCCGGAGCCGCGGGTTGCTGACCCCTGCCCTGGACCAAAATAAGCACCTAACCCTTGCAGTGCAGACATCCCACCACTGCAAGGGTTTTTTTTTTGTTAACTAGAGTTCATCTTTAAAGTTTGCAATTGATGGAGGTGCCCTCCGCACACCTTTCAGCAGTCCCGGCCAACAATCAAATAAATGGTGCTCGAAGTAACTTCACGGATGGCACCGTGCAAAACACAAGATTGAAGAAAATAGGTCACCAGCACTCCATAAGTTAAAATGAATGAGTCCTTTTAATGGACAATGATGTCACAGAAATCCAACATGAGCCGACGTTTCGGGGCCACACAGGGTCCCTTCTTCAAGGCAGAAGAGACAAAGATGTGGTCACATCTCTTGCCTTGAAGAAGGGACCCTGTGTGGCCCCGAAACGTCGGCTCATGTTGGATTTCTGTGACATCATTGTCCATTAAAAGGACTCATTCATTTTAACTTATGGAGTGCTGGTGACCTATTTTCTTCCATCTTTAAAGTTTGACTTCACTGATCACATGCTTACTCTAAACCAGTGATTCAGACATAACGTAAGACGGAGCTTGCACGGGAACGTAAGGCTCGCCGAACTTAGAGGTCCACACCACCAGATTTAAAATCAGAAATCCAAAATAATAAGAGAGCTAGCATGCCGAAGAAAATTCAAACACTGCTCTGGCTCTCGTATGTCCCTTGGTGTCTTCATGTCTGTATTAGATGTGAAGAGGTTATGGATCCCTAGACTGCTGGAGTTGAGGAGACAGGCTGCAGGTACTGGTCTAGCAGCCAGGCAGGATTGAGGATCGGGTGAGTATATCTTTGCTCCCTAGAAGATATGAGCAGTTAAAGCGGACCTTTACTCGTATCTTTAAAAAAAACAACAAACACACCTTTAGAAATGTTTAGTAATGACAATCTACAAACACATACTTCTACATAATTGCCGGCTTTGTATTCTTTAATACCTTATTGCTCTTTTCTTCCCCAGTCTTCTGGAAGTGCCCATATTTACTAAGGGCTGATTACTAGCTCTCCTTACTTCCTGGTTTTCTGGCACATGACTAGGACATGTGACCATGCACATCATCTCAGGGGAGGAAAATGTCTTTCACTGAGATCTCGAGATTACAGATGAGATTTGCCAGCAATGCTCTGCTGATGACAAGGCAATCCCAGTGTGCATTGCTTAGGCAAACGGAAGTCATTATTCCTTTACAAAGCAGGAACTGAATGCTCTGCAAGTGTAAGTATTTCATAATCACAAACAAATCTGTTATTAATAATCATCATACATAGAGGGATGCATTGGTAGAATTTGATCTTTGAGTGTAAGCCCTCGTTCACACCTGAACGTTTTGTAGCGCGTTCTACGCTCTACAAAACGCTCAAAAATATAAATCCCATTGTAGTCAATGGTCTCGTTCCCACCTTGGCGTATTTCCGCCCGTCCCTAACGCGCTACAAAATGGCCCACGCCTGAAAAGGTACATGTACTACTTTGGGCCGTTTTGTTGCGCGTTTCCATTGGGATACAGCCAAGTAGCCTTCGGAAACGCGCGTTTCTCTAAGCCTGATGAAGGGGACCCTGCGAGGCCCCGAAAGCGCTTGCCAATGAGATACAGCTATTGGCAATAAAATATTTTGCTTTTTCAACTCGTGGTGTGCTGGTGACATTTTTCTACTGTCGCGCGACTTTTTACCACGAATTGCGGGAAAAAAAACGTGCGACGCGCGCATATGCAATACGCCTAGGTGTGAACGAGACCTTAAGGTCCACTTTGACTCTGCCAATGAGGGTGGTGTAGCCCTACTGCAAGGATTAACTTTTCAAATTCCTGGCACTCCCCTTTAAAGTCTATGAGGCCAAAACATATGATTCAGCCCCAAAAGAAGCTCATCTGTAGCAACAAGTGACACAATGCTCACATGTAAACAGGGGCCATTGAAAACAATGAGGGGAATTTATCAAAACTGAAGCCGCTAGGCATGACAACCAATCAGCTTCTGTCTTCAGTTACGATTTGAAAATGAAACAGAGAAGCTGATTGGCTGCCATGCCCAGCTGCTCCAGATTTTGATATATTCCCTTCAATGTGATTTATCTTGTGGGTTGCTGCGCTGAGGGAAAGGAACAATAAAATGCCTAGGTGTAAATGCGACCTATGGTCCCTACCTCATGCAAGCTAGAGCCAATTCACCTGCCAGCAAGTTTTTTGGAGTGAAGGGGGAGACCCACACAATGAGAACAAAGTATTCCATGCAAATTCCGCTTTATAGACAGAGGCTGAGCAGTCATGTCCCTTTGTAGTCCCCTTCTGGATTGGAAGCCCTCCAGCCGCCGACCAGTGTATTTTTAGCATTCTTCCTCCTCAATCGCGCTCTCTAGGCCACAACCCACTTCAGCGCGCGCGTTAGCAAACACTTCCGCTCTAACCTACATCCGGTTGCTCTCCCGCCGTGCTGTGCGCGGCCGGTCACAGGAAGCGTAAGGATGTCTGGCTGGGAGCGTGATAGCGGACGGAGCTCCGGGGATGGACGGAGCTCCGGGGATGGGCGGATCTACGTGGGTAATCTGCCGTCCGATGTCCGGGAGAAGGAGCTGGAGGAACTGTTCCACCGCTACGGCCGGATTCGCACCATCGAGTTGAAGAACCGAGGCGGCGGCGCTGCACCGTTCGCTTTCATCAGCTTCCAGGATCCGAGGTGAGAGGAGAACACAGCAGCCTCTGTGTACTGTCGCCCTTCCCCTGCTGACTGGTTGGTGGAGCGGGAGAGGCGGGCGGTTCGGAGTAGTAGGCCCGGCTCTTTGTGAGGAAGGGCGCACATGGATAGTTTGTAGTCAGGGATGGCGGGAGCGGCGCTGGGGGGAGGGGACGTCCAACGTGGGGCTCTGTGTCTCAGCACTGCCTTCTCCTCTCAGGGATGCGGAAGACGCCGTGTTTGGACGGAACGGATACGAGTTTGGCTCTTGCCGGTTACGTGTAGAGTTCCCGCGATCGAACAGAGGCCCCGGGGGCGGTTATGGCGGCCCTCGTGGAAGAAACGGACCCCCATCCCGGAGATCTGAGTACCGAGTCCTTGTATCAGGTGGGTGATATGTGACACTGATCGGGGTGTATGGAGGAAAGGCCATTGTGTTATCGGCACCCGAATATTTACCTTTTGATCTACAAATCTTGGTGTTCAGTGAATGGTAGGAGCTCTTTCTTGTCATAGGATCACACAATACATAAAGGGGGCTGGCTATACTAGAATGGCATGGTTCTTCCAGTCTGTTATGCTGGCCATAGGCGGCTCCTGATGAAATCACTGCTATGGGTGACCCTGCTACAATGGTAAGCAAACTGGCCCTCCAGCTGTTGTGGAACTACAAATCCCATGAGGCATTGCAAGATTCTCACAGGCGGTGACAGATGCACCATGGGATTTGTAGTTTCGCCACAGCTGAAGTTTGCCTACCCCTGCACAATAGTTGATTTTAAATGCATATTCCACCTTTTGCCAAAAAATAAATGAATGAATAAATGTTCCTCTATTGCATTTATTTATTTTGCATGGATGCCTGCAGAGTATCGAGTCACAATTACCTAGACTATGCCGAGCTGTGCTGCATGCAGCAATTTACAGAAGACTGTGGAGAGGAGCACCCTGTGATTCCTGTAAGTGTGTGGCTGAGGCATGGCACTGATACCACATTCCTCCCATATGTGTATGAAAAGTGGAGTTAGCCTTAACTGGCTGAACAGTGTCTCCATCCTATCAGATGGAGTCACTGTTCATGTATTCGGGGATCCATGGATGCTGAATACAATAGCCAGCAGGGGAGATTCCTCCACCCATGCTGTTTAACATGGCTAGAGGAATCAAATGACTTCCTTTAGTTCAGCCCATGAGATGAACAGAAAATTTAGCTGTGAGTGACTATATGAAGTGAGAAATAAAAGCACATAACCAGACAGAGGCAAGAAGCACCTTTGCACATTCATCTTTTATTTCTAAACTATCCCCCCCCCCTCTGTAGTGATTATCCTCATATACACCTTTCAACTAGGAGGAGATGAGCTGTAAAGGAAGTGGTTACATACACAGATTTGGGGTTTTTGTTACACCGTTTAGGCTCTACCTCCTTGTTTATGATCCAGCTTTCACATCTCCATCTTTGGCACAGATAAATGGATTTGACTATAATGGTACCCATCTCATTCTGCACAGACTATACACAGTACATTTTTAGCAGATCTTGGCCTCTTGCCTGTACTGTCATAAATACACAGCAGGTCCTGGTAGAGACTTTGGTGTGATCTTTGTGAGTGCATGTCCTCACTGTACATGCAACTAGAGGGGTCAGTGAGGGCTTGTTATGAATGTGTTAATATTTAAGGGCCTATTGACATGTTCATTGGACTGCATTGCAGGCCTAATGCGATGACAAGCATTTAAACACAGTGCAACATGCTGCAGTGTGCATTGAGGGAAAACTAGAAAAACAAATTTGTCTTTTTGTCATGTGCACTAAACGCGTTGCATGCTGTGTGGATTCAGCCCTAACGCAGACATAAACCACTGCGTAGCTCTTTGCCATAATCTGCAATGATGCTGTGCCTATTATGACACGCTTACCTTACAATCGTGCCCTTCTCTAGCGCTGTGAGATGCGTTATCTGTCCCCTCATGCAGACACTTCCAGGTACCCAGACATGCTTTTTGTCCATTGTGTGGCCATTCGTGATGTAACTCCCCGCCCATGCGCGCTGGAGCAAATGCACCTGAGTGTGTGCACTGCACGGTGTACAACCTACACAGCACATAAAGAATCATCGGGGCTTTGTCTCTTCTGCCAAACATTCCTATCTTCCAGTGATCTGTTTTCTTCTGCTTTAATGTCTATTGTCTGGGCACAGGAACACTTTAACTGTCTTGAAAATCCTTGGGTTTGAGTTGCATTGATGGAGGTGAGGTTGTAGAAGAGCTTTGTTTTGAATTGAATCTTTCTAGAGGAGTTGAAGCTGTTATAGCGGCAAAGGGTGGGCCAAGTCAATATTAAACCCTACGGACTAAGACTGGGATGCCATTAAAGTTCATGTGCGTGTAAAGGCAGGCGTCCCAATACTTTTGTCAATATAGTGTTATCTTCTATTGGGTGACCAGCACAGCCACAGCTAACATGCAGACAGTTTGAGGGTACCTTTAGAACTAGAGTAAGGGCTCATGTACATGGGCATTGATTTTCTGTGTGCACTCCATTTGCTTTATTGGTGTAGTAAGGATGTACATGGTTCTGAGGCTGTCTGACCTGTTTTGCTTTCCGTTTCTTTGACGGCAGCAAGTCCTTTTGAGATTCGTTCACACTGGAGGCAAAGCAGGTTTTGCATTCAAAAGCATGTGTTTGAGTAGCACTGCATTCAAATGCAAAAAAAGGCGGTATTCCTGAACAACCCCCACACAATCAGCTCTCAGTGTTGCATTCAGAGTGAAATCAAACTGGAAAAAGTAACTTCTTAGTTTTAGTTTTTCTATACAGTAGCTATAAAGTTAAAACTGCTTTTATGTTTTTTTTTGTCTCGCCCTGTTTGGAGATTTTCCTTTACTTCCTGTCCTATCTACTGGTGTAAACTGGAACAAGAAGTAAAGAAAAAATCTCTCCAATGGGGGGGGGGGACACACCATTAAAAGTCTGATTAAGGCTTTACCATTCACCCATTTTATTCGTTTACAACTTTGCGACTGTAGCTACCTCCACATCACTGCTTCTTGCTCACTGCTCCTAAATAAACCTCCTCAGGCCCCGTAAGTGAAGGTCTACATTTCACATAGGCAGGGCTTGAAAAATCCACTCGTCCTCTCATCTATGACGAGAGGACGCCAGAGCTGGACGGGTAGCTTCCCGGCCGGTCGTTGTAATTAAACGGACGGCAGGGAGCTTTACATTCAAGCAATCAGTCGTCTCTAGAGATGCCCGATCGCTTGTTTTAGCTTCGGTTTCCCCCGCTGTCACTGCAGGTCCCGGGATCCGGTGCGGCCGGGACCAGCACGGCTGCTCTGTGACAGGAAATCAAAGGGTGATCGGTACACAATCTCCCTCTGATCTCCTGTCCGGTCCCCGAATGCAGGAAGTAATGTATATTACATCGCTTCTGCATTCAGTTGTTGTTCCCAGCTACAGAAGCTGGTGAAGCAGAATGCTGCTTCATCAGCTTCTCTGGGCGTCCCTATGTGACATTAGGGGTCTTGGAGACCCCTGATGCCTCCATAAAGAGGACCTGTCATGTAAATTGGCTATCACATAGAGCAGGTCTTCTTAAACTTTCTCCACTCGTGACCCCTTTTTGGCCGAGGAAATTTTTCTGGGATCCCCGTTCACTTGCGTGACCCCATGTGGGGTCGTGACCCACACTTTAAGAAGCACTGACATAGGGGACTTCTTAGCTTTAAGTGTAAAAAAAACCCGCAATTTTTTTGCAAGTCCCCGCATACACAAGCAAACATACGTCAGGTGTGCCTACGTGTGAAAACGACGATTACGTCTATTGTACTGCACATGTTGCATATCACCGCGAACGTTGCAGTGAGAGTAATAATGCTCGGTCCATCAATCACTGATAAAACTAAAATGATGAGCGGTAACTTGCGGTACTTTTTTTTTTTTCCATTATATAGTAAAAAATAACACCCCCCCCAGTGGTGATTATATACCTCCAAAAGAAAGCTCTGTGTCCCCAAAAATGTTAACATTAAGGGCTCACTTATGTGCTGCTTGGTATGAGCCAGTGACTTGAAGTCAGAGGAGAGTAAGGAGACCAGGTAGCAGTGAGAGTTGGTGACTTGTCAGCCATTTCCTGGGGGAGGCAAATCTCCATAGCCTCTAGGCAGCTGACTCCAAGGAAGTGGTGTCAGTAATGGTCCCCATTCCCTTGGCATGAGACTATGTGGGTGAGCTGCAAGGCGACACTCTGGTCCAGCTCTGCATCCCACCTATTTCCAGCACAGTTCCCAAATTAGAGTGGAATGCATGACTGAACACTGAAAAGATTTCCTCCTTACTTCCTGTCCTAGTGACTCAACCGGAAGTAACACTCACAAATGGGGGCAGTTCAACACTTTTCGCTTATTTGAATTAGTTCTTCAATTGCTGTCTGTGTCGCAATTGTAGATATTCTCACATCCTGTCCTAGTGAAATGTATAAGGGACCGTAATATACAGGGGTACGGGTACTCCTAGAATGAGATCCTAATAGGTTGGACTTGATGGACTAATGTCTTTATTCAACCTCAAATACTATGTAACTATGTAATGCATGAATCCTGGTCACAAAGTTGACTTTGATGCTGCCTGGGTTAGAATATTGGCTTCTCCATAAGTGTGTTTATGCTTTTGGAAGTATATTGGTCACAAGTGAAAATGTCATTCCTGACATCCCCTGTTGAAATTGCTAATTGCCTGGCTGTCATGCTCTTTTGCTTCAGTACATTGAGTCACTGAGCCGGGATGTACTTGTTCATGTACGGTGACGCCTGTGCATCAGTATAGCAGCCAGGCAACCAGCATTTTCATAAAAAGGTCAAACATGTTTATGTATTAACCATATAATGTGCGTGTAGTGTTTGTGAATCTAAGATCATTTATACTTTTTTTTTCCTCCCAATATATATTCTAGGTCTTCCGCCATCAGGGAGCTGGCAGGATCTGAAGGATCATATGAGAGAAGCAGGAGATGTCTGTTATGCTGATGTACATAAAGATGGAATGGGAATAGTGGAATTTATTCGGAAAGAAGACATGGAGTATGCTTTGAGGAAACTGGATGACACTAAATTTCGGTCACATGAAGTAAGGCAATGGCTGCGTTACCAAACAATGCAACGGATGCGCCCGGTGGAACATCGGATAACCTTATTTTTCCTTTTTGTAGGGTGAAACCGCTTACATTCGCGTCTGTGCAGAAAGAAACGCCAGTTACTCGCGATCTAGATCCCGTTCAAGAGGCCGCGATTCTCCCTATCAAAGTCGTCGTTCTCCTCGTTATGCCTCCCCCTTCCGACAGTACTGATCTGCCACACAGGGACACTTTCTATGAATTGAATTCTAAAGACCATCTGCTCTTACATTCCACAACTGATGGAGTTCATTATCTTTTATACCATTATTTCTGCCCCTAATTTTTATTTTATTTTTTAAAGGAAAAGTGTGATCTTTGCATCAGATGTACTTGTTTTCTTTTACGTTCTGTCATCTTTTAAAAAGGCAACAGACAGTATTGTGCCTGATCTGATGTTCTTCGCATAAGTGTGCAGTGAATGTGAATGATAGCTCTATGGGGTATTAAACAAAACAAAATGTGGAATGTTGTGGCACTGGGGCAAACATAAGGGAAGGTTCATGTTTGTCCTTTATATATAGACCTATCCCCCCTCAATTTGTTAGAATGATATTATTTGAAATAACTTTTAATCCTCTTCTCAAGTTTGTATGTGTTATTTCCTTTTTATTATGAAAGTGTTTCAGTTAAATAAAAAAAACATCTGTAGCTGTCCTAATAAAACAGTGAGATTTCCAAGTGGTGGTGTTCCGTGCCTTTTTCTTCCCCAGTCCACATTTGGATTACATGTCATCTGCGTTGGGGCATAAATAGTCCTTTTCCTTCTGGGGTAAGGGAATGTTTCCTGTTTGGTATAACAAACAATATTAGCTTATAAAGTTTTGTTTGAACATCTTCTTTTATTTAAAAAAAACAAATCAAGTTTTATACCTGGAGGTGCTACAAAATAATCCTCAACTACTGAGCTGGCGTTTTGAAGTAGAATTTCTGAGCAATTGCCAGATGTAACACTGTCGCTTCTTATACACAATGACCTACAGAAAGAAAATAAACGTAAAGTAATTGTGTACAAGAGGCATGTAACCCAACAGTCATTACTGCCTACCTGTCCTCTAACACAGAGGCGAGTGGCTCTATGCCATCTGTATTCACAAGGTGGAGCTGATTTGCAAAATGAATTGCACGCTGCAGTCGCTGTACTCCCTCTTGGTTACGAAAGTCCACAAGGGCTAACCTCTCTAGATGATCGATAAGCTCTGGAGTGACATGGCAGTCCTGGAAAATTTGCACAAAAACAATTATTGGCTATGAAAATGCCCTTTTATTAGGATAAGGGCAGAGATTGAGTTTTTGGATACCAGCTTATGAATGATACGACTTATGGACTTACAATCACCTTGTGGGGACAACTAGTAAAGTCCAGTTGGTGCTTTAGACATAGTGACTTTGGTAATGCATAATACAAAGATCAATCAAAAAAGTAACGCCTCCATGTCAGTAATTTGAGATCTTCGAGTGACTGAATGTTTATGTACCATGTTATAGAGGTGTCCTTACCCCACACCTTTGTTTTGATGCGTCTGGAATGCATGTAGACAAGTTGACCTGAACATTTGTATGCTTTTCTTTTTTGGATTGAGTGATTAGAGCCATGGATCTACGGCTAAAACGAGCTGTAATGAATTTCTGGCGACAGAAGTGGGTTGCGCACCTAAGGAAATCCATATTCGGCTAAAGAATATTCATGAGCTGTAGTGGAATTTCGGTTTCCCTTCTTGAAGCTGCACATTGCTAATGTCCACTACAGCGTCCCCATAAACATTCTTGTTTTTGTTTTCCATTTTTATTTCCTTATTTCCTCTTTTGCCAGAAATTAAATTACAGCTCGTTTTAGCCACCGACCCATGGCTCTAATCAATCTGAAAAAAAAACATGCATACAACGTTTAGTTAACATTGTCTAAATGCATTCCATATGCATCAAGACAAAGGCGTGCAAAATCTGAAAAACATGTTACATAGAAGGACCCTTGCTCTGTGTGGGGAAACGGTGATCTCTGCAGAGGACTGACACCACAAAACCTCCCCCGTTCCGGGTTAGAGCTAGCATTTGCCATTCAGCAAAGCTCATACTTTGTGTAGAGGGTGTTAACAATTTTGCACTGAGACCACTGCTTCCACACAGTGCAAGGGTCCTTCTACGTAGCATGTTGCAGGCCTTTCTGCTCAGGCTGTGGCTGCTTTCTAAAGAAAATAAACTTCAGCTACCCATACACCTATAGATTATCTGCAGATTTTCTGTGGTCAGATGGAAAAAGTGCAACAGATTCCTCCATCTACGCTAAACTGTGTGGATGGGGGAATCTCCCGCTGGGCCAAACTTCAGTATCTTGCTAGTCTGCCCCACTGGCTGTCAATATTAAGTTTAAACAGAGTCCCGGCGGCAAAAGTCACCGGGAGTCTGTTTAAACAGCCCCGATGCTGGCGACGTACACTGTACGTCGTCAGTCACGAAGGGGTTAAGGCTTCACACACCTTTTTGTTTAAATGCACCTGGAATGTATTCATCAGATATAAACTGGATGTTCAGTTGAGCTTTAAATTGACCTTACACTCCAAGAAATTATACTTTTTTTTTTGCCAGTTTACACAATCCTAGCTGCTTGTATATTGAAAAAGTACTTTTTAGGGCTAAACTCACAGCAGGCAGCTTAATGTAACAATACATATGTGGGAATAGGGCTGCAACCAACTAATCGATAATAAGAACAGTTGACTGCTATTCTCATTATCGATTAGTTGGCTGGATCTCCTAGCGTGCTCCTCCATGCTGAGTGGGGGGCACATCAAGCCGTGAATGGCTGCAATAGTCAGCCTGCTATTGAAGTGGCCAATAGCAGGCTGGCTATTGCACCAGCCCACTACCTGCTGTATTTACAGTCAGCTGCCATCTGTGTACTCTTGCCACTGGCAGCAGTATTCCCTGGCTGAAGCTATTCAAGTGCCATGTGCTTGAAATATAATTATTATAAAAAAAGGTGGGAACAAAGTTATTTTCGCTTTCGGCTTGACAAATTCTGCTGCTGGAGGTGCGTTGTAGTGCTATTAATTTCAATGGCACCCCAAACGTGCCTCCCACACTGGAATGTATGGGACTGGAATGTATGGTACAGCAATGCTGTCCAGTGCAACGCTGTACGATTGCAAAAAATTGTGCATGCAGTTTTATTCTGAAGTATGTTTGTAACACTCCATTTGTGTAATTTATTTAAAATTAAGGATGGGATTTATTTTTTTCAGATTAATGAAAAAAATGAACCGGCCAACTAATCAATTAAGAAAATTAGAGCTGCAGCTAATGATTGTTTTCAAAATCGATTAGTTAGCCGATTAATCGGTTAAACTTAATAGGATCAAAAATAAATTTTAAAAAATGGCTCCAGTGATGGACCACTAGTTTGTATTGAGATTGTAGTCCCATCACGGGAGCAAGCTTGGAGCGGTGGATATAAGGAAAAAAAAAGAAAGAAAAAAAAAATATAGCAATGAATGCAGAATGGCACCGGCTATAGAAGACTACAAATCCCAGCAATAATACATTATACAGCGCAATGCCGAATACCACCAGCTATAGAGGTGTACAACAAATCCCAGCAATAGTACATTATAGCTGGCGGCATTCTGCATTGTGCTGTATAATGTACTATTGCTGAGTTTTGTTGTAGTCCTCTAAAACTGGGTGCAATTACTTTTGCATGATATTCTAATTATTCGAGTTTCACCTGTATATATAGCACAATGTACCATCAGTTATATATATGGAGGAATACAAATCTCACATTCACAGCACCGAGTACCGTCGGGGGGGGGAGGTTCAGGCTTACCTGAGCAGTCTTCTAGCAACTTGCTTCTGAGATAGGGCCTGTCTATTGGCGACTGTCATCCCCCCCACACCTGCTCCTTACTTCTCCCCGCGTCCCTGTGCCGATCGTGGATGTGGACTGGCGGTGAGCGGGAGGAGGTGTGGAGCGTAGATGCAGGAGGGTCTGGCAGCGGCAAGCGTGAGGTGGGGAGGAGGTGCGACGCGCAGCGCGTGGAACCCGTGAACAGGGCCAACTAATCGGAAGCCAGTTAAATCGATGATTGAAAACGTTGACAACTTTTTCAATCATCGATTTAGTCAGCTGTTGCAGCCCTAATGAAAATAATCATTAGTTCAGTGGTTCTCAACCTGTGGGTCGCAACCCACAGTTGAGGGGGTCCCCACGTGCCTTGTGCTGCTCTAGGCAAGAGGCTCCTCAGCCTCCTCCTAGCGCGGCAGTGTCAGTTCCCCTAGATGGCGCCGCAGCATCAGCGACTGGAGAGGATCAGATAGAGGGGAGCAGGCAGGAGTGAGGGGAGGTAAGTGCTTGGGCACCACAGAGCCCGCACTGGGCACCACAGAGTCCCACTAGCCACCTGAGAGCCCGCATAGCCTACCGAGGGCCCACACAGATACTAGTATTGGTGCATCCCTAAATTTTACAGTTGGGGGTCACCACAACTTGGAAAATGTTACCAAGGGGTCCCAGCCCTAGAAAGGTTGAGAACCACTGCATTAGTTGCAGCCCTATGTGGGAACTATTTTCCCGATTGAAAGATTCTCTAATAAGCAAGTCCTGTAATTCAGACAGCACCGCAAGGTCCTTGATCACCACTGTTGCAGCAGAACAGCTCAGTTCAGAACATGCTCCCAAAACAGTTTCTTTTAAAACATGCCAGCTGTCAAAGCTGCCTGTGTGCTATTTTTTTTCCAGCTCTCAGCCGAACTTTTAGGTCCTCTAATGGCTGGTGTCATAGCAGATCACATGTGTGGCACCATGACAACTGCAATCCAGATAGAGGCCAAGATGACATCTTCCTTGGCTGTGAAGGATAGGAGGGTGTAGTTCTGCTTCAAAGGGATTCCATCACAAGGGAAGTACAGGAGCTGCCAATGCTGGCCTCCTGAAGAAAATACTAGATGTTTGGCCGGGCCTGTCTTAAGTACTTTTAAGTCACAGTTCCAAAATAAGCATGTGAATGTGTGTCAGAATTTCTTATATCTCTATACTTGTTACAGTCAGCAGCACAAAGCATGACAACCAGGGAACTAGCATTCTCAAAAGGCAGGTTCTTACATGATCCTCATGTGATAACATGTCTAAAGCAAATCTGGCCAGGCTTTAGAGATTTAAAGGGGAACTATGAGGTGAGTGATTTCCACTCATCATAGTTAGAGCCGACGTGTGACAAAGAAGCTGGTTGGTTGGCTCTATCGATCGGAAAGTGTGCTAACACATACCGTCACTCGCTCACTTTCCAATCATCTCCCTGCAGAGAGCGGTGACTGTCAGTTACCGCTTCCCGCAGGGATTCCCCCCTCCCCTTTCCGATCCTCCAGCGATGAGTGCAGGAATGGATAGGGCAGGGGGCAAGAAGAGCCCACTGTCGGCCAGCCAGGTGGATCCAGACAGTATTGTCGGGATCCATCCCGGCTGCGGTGCTCTCAGTATATCGCAAGCAATAGCCCGCGATATACTGAGCTTTGGGTCACGGGAGGACACTAGTATAGGTTCTCTCTTGACCCTTAAGAGAACTATGGGGGAAAACACTTGCCCCATAGTTCTCTTTTAAGTATTTACATATTTATAACAAACATTTTGCCCTCCCTCCGACCTAACAAATGTAATCTTCCCCCTTCACAGATGCATACTTACCTTGATCCAACATCCGCAGCCTGCAGAGATTGCTTACATCCAGCACCACAAGTCCTCTCTCTTGGCTGTGCCTGTGCAGTAGAGCCCCATAGACTTCTTCCATAGGGTTGTCTACCTCCAGGAGACAAGCCCTATTGACTTCTATGGGGGCTCTTCTGGTCAAGTGAGGCCAGGAGGGAGAGGGGACGATGTAAATACAGGAGACCACAGATATCAGATCGAGGTAAGTATAAATCTGTGGAGGGAGAGGGTGGGATCTGTTAGGTCAAGGGATGGGGGAAAAAGGAATAAGTGCCCTTTCTCCAAAACGACATATTCTTTAAGCACATAAAGGTCATCAAATTACAAATGACAATTACCTGTTCTTCGGGTTCAGGCTCAATTGTCCACGCTGGATTCTGTGGTACCTTCAGTGAATACAATTAATATTGTTCAATACCAACATTTCTCACATCAAATTCATAACACTACAAGTCCCAGCAAACTCTCTGTCCCTAGAGGCCCCTGGGACTTGTAGGCTGTATTCAGCTAGAGGTGACTGAGAACACTGATCTCTCTAATACCTTACTCTGCGAGGACAAAAGGCGTGTAAACCCAGCCGTCCTCCAGCACCTAACAGCTGTCTTCTGAACCCACATTTTCAGAGGTGTCGCCTTCCAATGACATCAAACACGGCCCGACGACTAGCGTGACCTTGAGCAACGAGCAGCCATCTTTAGAAAGGGCACGGTAGGCGTTATTGGGCATGGCGTGCTCTGTTCGGTAGAGGTTATCGCCACTTGTGACACCGGAAGCTGCAGCGTTGGGCGATATGAACAGTGTGGGGGAGGATTGCACCGATATGAAGCGCGAGTATGACCAGTGCTTCAATCGCTGGTTCGCGGAGAAGTTCCTGAAGGGGGAGGGCAGCGGAGACCCGTGCACCGAGCTCTTCCGGCGGTACCGCAGTTGTGTGCAGGTGAGCAGAGGCCGAAGGTTCCGACTCCAGGGAGGCAGAGCTCGTTCCTACAGATGCTCAGCATCTGGATCAAAACGGTTCCGGTAAATCTGAGCTGGAAAGCGAAATAAAGAGTTAAACTGTCCAGGCGTTAAAGTCTATTCCCAAAAAGAAAAAAACAACAACTCCCCTTGCAATGGGGCAGGCCTTCACACGTTACCTGCATGTTTATGTCTAGGGTACCCAGGAAACGGACTTTTAATTACCTGCTCCCGCTGGCACCAAGACTAGCACCCACATCCTCTTCCCTGATACACTTCGGTGGTTGGACCAGTGTCAGTGAGTCGTTTAATTCTTGCAGTGGAGGGGGTGCAAGGGGAGCTTGTTGTTGTTTATTTTACCAAAGATAGGATTTAAAGCAGAATTCTGGGGAGAATAATGATACCCCAGCACTCCAAAGGGATAAGTGCTTCTTTTGGTCTAGGGAGGAAAATAACACCGTTATGCTCACTTGATCCTCTGAGCCTGCTTGCTCTTAAGGTGGCCATACACTTTACAACCATCGCAAGACCTTAGTCTTGCGATGGTTGTAAAGTACTTAAAAAAACGTACGATCTGCCCATCTTGGACAGGCAGATCGTACTCTCGATCATCGCAAGCCCGCCCCCCTGAGGGGCGGGCTTACGATGACTGTAATGAGGGGCGGGCTTACAATGACCGCAATGCTGAACGGGCACTGTGCGCGTGCGCACACCGGCCCGTTCGGCATTTGTCTCCCGAGCACTGTTATAACCAGCCGAAAATCGTACGATTTTCGGCTGGTTTACTAGCGTGCTCCCTAGACAAAAGACGTGCGACCGTACAGTAGAAACGGTCGCACGTCTTCGTTCACACTGCTCGATTCTCGTACGATCGCGGGATTTCCCGCGATTCTCGTACGAGAATCAAGCAGTGTATGGGCACCTTTAGACTGGTCACTGGAGCCTCTCTTCCCTTCCGCTGCAGTGGTCTGAGGACCAGTAAATCATCACTTCAAATACACATGGGGAAGTTATCAAAACTGGAGCAGACAAAATCTAAAGCAGTTGCCCGTGGCAACCAATCGGCTTCTCTCTTCAGTCTGTTTAGTTAAGCTTTAAAAATGAAAGGTGGATGCTGACTGGTTGCCATGCACAGCTGCTCCAGTTTTGATAAATTCATCTCACGGTGTACAGGACGTGAGGACGCCACCGAGGGATATACCTTTGCTGCAGGGGGTAGCACCACCACAAGGGTTAATCATTATTTTCTCCAGAGTTCTTCATTAAGTAGATTTTTTTTTTTTACAATTAGAGTGTGGAAAAGTTAAAGCGCCATTAAACTTTTGTTTTTCTTTTGGTATCCAGACTGCAAGCCTGCTTCTCCCCTGTACGGGTGCCTCCATCATCTAGTCGACTGCTGTGTAGGCACCCATATGTGCATGGTCATGGCCGTGCCCGCACCTAGCTGTGTGCGCCCATAGCACACACAGCATGTGCCTGGCCACGCCCCCACCCATGCAGTCATAACGTGACTGACAGCAGAAGGAGCTTATGACTGTTCTGCCCTTAGTACCCTCCCCTGTATCCAGGAAGTTCAGGGAAACCCATGCATCTTCCCGGTCACGTTGGAGGAGACAAGTGGCTGCAGGTAAGGGGGAGGGGGGCTGTTAGAAAAGTGCGGGGTGTTTTTTTGCCTTGATGCAGAGAATACATTAAGGCAAAAAACCCCCAGCCTTTAATACTACTTTAAAGCCTCCTGCCAGGGTTGTATTGTTGTCTGTGTCCCAATTGGGGAAATTTTTTTCACTTCCTGTCCTAATAAATGGGACAGGACACACCGATTTAAAAAAAAAAAAAACCTACAAAGGTTCTTACAATTCCCCATTCAAAATGTTATTATTGCTGTCTGGCTAGGTTGTGCTTCTGAGATCTTCATGCGTTTAAATTGGCCAGTTACAAGCCATATCTCCTGTTATGTCATTGTGTCATCTGACTTCAAGCTTCCTCCTTCCTATATCTGTTGTTTGCTTGTGTAGTTGTGCTATGATCATGTGTCATGGTCAATATGCCAATGTTTATGTCTGCTGCTGCAGCTTTGTATTGGTGGTGGCTGGGCTTGTCATGCAATGGTCTCAATCTGACCAGGTGGATGAAGGCTTTGACATCCAGCATTCTGTGGCCTTGTCTCTCCATCTCCTCTGTTGCCTGTGTAGAGTAGAAGTTGCAAGCAGGGCCAGCCTTAGGCCTTTAGGCGCCTTGTGCGAGAAAGCTTTACAGCTCAGTGACCACACCCCCAGTAACCACACCCATTTCCCCCAATATCCGCACCATTTAAAGACTCCTATTTTGTTAAGCCGCAAACAAAAATATATTAAAAAGTATGATAAAAATAAAACTTTTATTCAAAGGTATTAAACTTGTCGGCACAATATAAGTATTATTATCAAATAAAACAACAGAAGTTAAACAATAAATGTCAAACTAAAATAGAGTCTATAAAAATAAAGTTTTTGGTTGTCAGGTTGTCATGTCGATTCCTTATTTCTACTAAGTATATCTAGAAAAGTAAAAATAGAAAACAGAACACAAAACCCGGGCTACGTGTAAAATAATGAATTACTATATGTCCGAATATACCAAAAATTTATTCAGACACATAATAATTTGAGAATTTCAGCCACGCACAGAGCCACTGCCATCCTGAAACTGACAGGATGACAGCGGCTCCGATCTCCTCCCCGCTCTGCCATCCTGACAGCTGTGGGCGCGGCTTCTCTCCCCCTCACCGCTCGGCCATCCTGACAGCAGGCAGCGCTCCCACTAGCGGACGAGGGAGTGCTGTCATGTCGGATGGACAGCAGTGAGGAGGAGAGAAGCCTCCCAGAGGACGAGGTGTGTCGGCCTCCTGGCGCCTTTGTAGCCATGGCGCCCTGTGCGGCCGCACAGCTCGCACACCCCTAAGGCCGGCCCTGGTTGCAAGAGGGGAGCCCTGTTCTTATGGTGGAAAATGCATGTACATGCCTTTCTAATACAATTTTATGAAATTTGATGGGGTCGAAATTGCACCAAAAAAAGGACATGCAGCATTTTCAGAAGCTTATGTAAGAAACTTGCATAGATGCGAATGGGATCCTTAGGAAAAGACAGGACTCCTTTTGTTGTACGATAGACAAAGAAATTGTTCAGATGTGAACGGGCACTCTATGTACTTCCTGGTGGTACCAATAATTAGAACAAGATATAAGGAAAAATCTCTCACTCAGGCTTTGCTGAAAAAGAGTAGTGCATTCGGCACTTCTTTTCAGCGTACACCACAGCAGTGCGGTGGTGTGAACTGCGCCCATTGTAAAAAGGGTAAATTGCCCAACACAGCTAATGCGTCTCAGGGTTGGACGGACAGAAATACAAATGCTTTGGCAGGTCAGACAACTCCCTTGTATATGTTTTTATCTAGCTGTTTGACTGGAGTTCAGCTTAAATCATTTGTTAAATGTGTCTGTCCTGCTGACACTGACCGCTATGATATGGTGGAGAGGAGTGACCACATGCATCTCCTTTCTTTGAAAGGAGACGGATTTGGGGAGTAAAATAATACTCTTCCCAATACTTAGAGCCGACGTGGGACACTGCTTCCAAAGATTTTAAAGTGGACCTTTACCCCCCCCCCCCTTCACTAAAAATCATCTCATCGTGCAGCTCTGCATGCTGATATGAAATCTTCTTACATTCATTAGTGAAATAAACATATATTTCTTTTACTTACAATTATTGTTTTTCTAATTCCTGGTCCTCTTGGGCATTAGTGATGTCATGTGCCCAAGCATTGCATCCTGGGAAGATTACATCAGCAGAGCATTGCTGGGAAATCTCATCTGTAATCTCATGAGATCTCAGGGAAAGGCATTTCCTCCCCTGAGATGATTTGCATGGTCACATGTCCTGGTCACATGTGCCAGAGTTCCAGGAAATAAAAGGACATGGATTCATCTGCCCTTAGTAAAAAAAAAAAAAAAAACTGAGAAGAATGGGGAGGTATGCAAAGAATACAAAGCCGGCAATGATATAGAAGTATGTGTGTGTTTGTAGATTGTCATTACTAGACATTTCTAAAGGTACCTTTGTTGTCATTTCAAAGATAAGGGTGACGTTCCTCTTTAATATATCGCCTATTATAATTGCGGTATTGTATTTCTTTTGCAGAAAGCTATCAAGGACAAGGACATCCCTGTGGACGGAATAGAGTTCATGGAACCTAATAAAGACAAGCCAAATTCGAATGCGGATTCTTGACCCAGTGTGGGCCCTGCAATAAAGGGGCCCCCAATGTCACACTTTCCCCATACTAATTTAAATAGGAAATGCAATGTACAGCCGGGGTGGACCAGTTATACTGATATCTTACAGCCATGAGCTGTAAGAATATTTATACAAGAATTTCTCAGTTACTCCTCTTTTATAAATTCTGCGCCTTGTAAATGTTATTTATCAATACAATTAAATGATTTGACCAAAAAAAAAAAAAGTTTTAATCTGTAAACTTGGATTTTGTTGTGTAAATGAAATGATAATTACTAGTGTATTGTATATAAAACTCCAAGCGCCCACCTACTTTCTTTTGCTTCTTTGATGCAATATGGAATTTGTAAAAATTCTGAAGGACGGAAAGGAATATTTTTTAAACTGGTCTTATCAAACCATTTATCAAATGCGTGACAAGAATTAATGACAACTGCTTGCTTATTTCATGAAATTATTTGGATACATCTCATACATAAAGTTCCAAAAGTAATATTTGTTACCATTTTAGTTTTGGGGGTTTAGATAGACTTTATTGAGCCAGTAAGTTGTAATATAATGCAGATCACCAATCCTTCTTTTATTCAGGCTTTTCCCCTTTGCCCTCATTCACACGAGAAACCTGCTTGGACACACACAGGATCCATCCTGTCAGCGTACGAGTACAGACACCCGCACGGACTTGCAGATCGGGTGAGCATAGGGGGGCGTGCGGCCGCGTACTCCCTCAGAGAAGGACAGGGGCTACGTACAAATCACATGCAGCACCTGTCCTTCCCGGGAGCTGCCCGATACGGCCATGCACGGGTCTATACGGGATGCCCGTTTCTCCTGTGAATGAGGGCTTAGTTTTCATTTGGTGATTCTGGGAATAACCCACTTCCTAACCCTTGTGTACACTCATTTATTCACTGTATCTAACAATGGTTGTCACACAGGCTGCCTTTGCTTATCTTTATCACAAAGCGGATAGAAGGGACTCGTCGTTTACACAATAGAGATACGACCCATTGTGATTTCTTTTAAGCTCACAGGAAGTGTCAATAACATTGCATATCTGACAAGTTTATCAGGTATCTTCTGTTCTTGCCAAAAATGTTTTACCCTGTAAAAAGAAAACTAATGTGGACACTGCATCTAAGGACTGGTACGCTGCAGTATATTACATATTTGTTTTTGGGTTGGATTTTTAGCTTGCTCTACCCATTTTGGCTGAACCGCACTGAATGCTGTTGCGATTCATAGGAACTTTCCTACAGCTCTTCTTATAAATGTGACTGTTAAACATACACATCCGCTGAGCATTCAGGCAGCCGGGCTAACAGGCTCTATCAAGAGTCTTAATCCAGACATACACTTGATCAGCTTTCACCTCTTTATCCCTCGTTCACACCTGAACGTTTTGTAGCGCGTTCTACGCTCTACAAAACGCTCAAACATGAAAATCCCATTGTTTTCAATGGGTCTGGTTCACACCTTGGCGTATTTCAGCCCGTCCCTAACGCGCTACAAAACGGCCCACGCCTGAAAAGGTACAGGTACCTCTTTGGGCCGTTTTTGTTGCGCGTTTCCATTGGGATACAGCCAAGTAGCCCTCGGAAACGCGCGTTTGTCGCGCCATTTTTTTACCGCGAATCGTGGTAAAAAAAAACGCGCCACAGACACGCATATGCAATACGCCTAGGTGTGAACCAGGCCTTAGTGCTTGCGTCATCTCTCACATTTGCTCACAACTTCAGAGATCTGAACTGAACTTTCATTCAAGCCATTGCATTCCCTTCTCATATGCTCATGTGCAGCCAAAAGGCTAATAACACTGTACATACAGTATAGTGTCTCAAAACTATTTCTGCAACCATTCAGCCTGTGCATAGTGAATGCCGCTTTTACACCTCCCAGTGCCAAGCTAAAATAATTGCTTTTTAAAAAGCTAAGTAGAAGGAAAACACCTCTCCGAATTCCGTGCACTGCTGAGCAACACGATCAAATCCAGAGTGCTGGACAAACAAGCTCCCCATTGTCTGAACTGCATATAAGAGAGAGGATGACTGACGCACTCCACAGATCTTCACCAAAGTACTTAAAACGTTATTGTGGATACCAACAACACACTATAATGTCCCTCCATGCGTACCCAACTTCTCATGTTTCACCTTTACGGCTTAATCATAGAGGTATGATTAAGCTGTGAAGATGAGGTTGGGTACGCATGGAGGGACATTATACAGTGAGTTGTTGGTATCCACAATAAAGTTTTGTGTACGTTGGTGAAGATCTGTGGAGTGCGTTCATCCTTTCTCCTATATGCAATTTAGAAAGGTTCCTTATATCCATATCTAAATGAAACAAACTGATGAATAGCGGGTTTCTGTTACTAAAAGAACAAAAAAAGGTTTTGTTATTGTATCATTATTATTATACAGGATTTATATAGTGTCCACATTTTGTGCAGTGCTTTCCAAAACTGAGGGAGACAATACAGTTACAATACAACTTAAGTACAAGAGGTAGGAGGGGCCTGCTCGTGAGTGGCAAGTGATACAAAAGGTAATAATGATGTGGGCTGATTTAATGGAAGAAGTAAAAGGACGGTTATATCGAGGTGGAATAGACCTGCCTGAAGAGATGAGTTTTCAAGGATCGTGTAAAGGTGGACAGAGTATGAGATAAGCTTACAGATTGGGGTAGGGAGTTCCAAAGGATGGGAGACACTCTGGAAGAAACCTGGAGGCAAGCATGGGAGGAGCTGATGAGAGAAGGGGGTCTTGGGAGGAGCAGAGTGGATGGTTTGGGTGGTATTTTTGTAAATTCTTTATTTCAAATTTTAATACACAAAGTTGTACCACTTCGGACTCGCAGGTACATAAGAGACAGTTAAAACATATAGCAAGTAAAATATATACACAAAAGGAAAAGTCAGACAATAAAACTCATTTGGTACTTGGTGTATGTACGTGAGGTAAGGCTCCCAGAGACATTGTAAACTTGTCCGGGAGACCTATCATCGGCATGCATTCACGTGGCAGGCTATCCGAATACACTTGGGTGATATTTTGAGATGAGGTGGGTTATGTAGGTTGGGGCAGAGTTGTAGATGGCTTTGTAGGTTATTATTAGTATTTTGAATTTGATACATTGGGCAAGTGGGAGCCAGTGGAGCAATTGGTAGAGGGGAGTGGGGGACGCTAATCGGTTGGTAAGGTGGATGAGTCTAGTAGCAGCATTCATGATAGACTGAAAGGGGATAGCCTGTTTAGTGGTAGGCCAACAAGGAGGGAGTTACAGTAGGCGTGGTATTACAAGGGAGTGAATTAGAAGCTTTGCTGTGCCATTTGTTATAAAGGGACGAATTTTGTAAATGTTACGGAGGTTGAGTCGGCAAGATTTGGATAGTGATTGAATGTGGGGCTGAAATGTATACATAGTCTCTACCTACCAGAAGCACTGTGGGTGTTCCAGGGCATTGTAGCTAAAGAGATTGTATTTAGTCAGATCAACTCTGTTAAAGGCTGCATGTACACTACGGGGTCTATTTATATACAAAGCACATCACCATTCACCCTGGGAATCTCCGTGAGTGTTGGAACAGACTTCGCAGTGTCGCCTTGAGGAAGGGACCGTGTGCGGCCCTGAAACGTTGGCATTTTTGACCTATGTGATGATATTTGCAATAAATGATATTCTCTTTGCATTCTGCAGTGCTGGCGACCGATCTCTGCAGTGCTGGCGACCGCACATCTCTGTGTTCTTCATAGCTGGGAACAAGGATTTTTTAACCAAGCTTTTTATACTGAAATCAGCCAGCTAGTGGTATAATGATTCCAGCTGTAGCTTGTGTTACACAAGTAAAATATTGAAACATATATTAATGAAAAAACATTAAAATAATTTTAGTAATTCAAGGAATGTTACTTTTCAAGATGATTCTTTCCTGTGACCAGGCAAACTGTGTCAGAAAATAAGTAGGGCAAGAAATTGCTGCAAGGATGATTTTAGAGAGGGGGTTTATAGACATTCGGAGCATTTACTTCTTACCTGAACATTTCCTATGTGGTCACTTCTCTATATAGGAGCCTTGGCAGAGCCAGATTGGAGCCTTAACATAAAGGGGATGCAGAGACTGAACAACACCTTTGTTTTAGGCCTTGCAAGGATGATTTTAGAGAGGGGGTTTATAGACATTCGGAGCATTTACTTCTTACCTGAACATTTCCTATGTGGTCACTTCTCTATATAGGAGCCTTGGCAGAGCCAGATTGGAGCCTTAACATAAAGGGGATGCAGAGACTGAACAACACCTTTGTTTTAGGCCTCATTCACACTACTAAGAGCCGGCCCGTACAGATCCGTGCGGGGTGCACGGCCATATCGGGCCGCTCCCAGAAAGGACAGGTGCTGCGTGTGATTGTACGCAGCAGCCTGTTCTCTATGGGGAGGACGTGGACGTACACTCACCCGAACTGCACATCCGTGCAGGTGTCTGTGCTCGGACGCAGGCAGGATCTATCCTGTCTGTGTACGAGTACAGGCACCCGCACGGATGTGCAATTTGTGTGAATGTATGGCCACATACTCCCCATAGAGAACAGGCTGCTGCGTACAATCACACGCAGCACCTGTCCTTCCCGGGAGCGGGCCAATGCGGCCATGCACACCACACGGATCTGTACGGGCTGGCTCTTAGTAGTGTGAATGAGGCCTAAAACAAAGGTGTTGTTCAGTCTCTGCATCCCCTTTATGGTAAGGCTCCAATCTGGCTCTGCCAAGGCTCCTATATAGAGAAGTGACCACATAGGAAATGTTGTCTCTTGTCTCTTAGCAGTGTGAATGAGGCCTTTATTAGCACGGCAATATGTATTTGATGTACACACAATGTATTTAATGTTTTTTAGCCTCTTCATTGTGTTGTAGTTCGTGCAGAAAGCTGAGCCTCCAGTTCACACATCATGGTGAGGGATGTGAGCTGCCATTTCTCCTAATGGGAGACAGATAAAGAATGTGGAACTATAGCCTAAAGCTGGCTATACAGAGAGCAAATTCCAGTCACTTCATCAAGAACCAAGGCAAAATTTGCTCCGTATAAGCCATTTGCAAAGATGGAAGCTCACGTTGCTGGAGGTGAGGCAAGTACAGTGGACTTCA